AGTAACAAAATCATGACTAACTTACTTCATCTAGATGTCAGCATAAAACTCTACTTTTGGATATAGTGCAGCAAGGAAAATGCGTGGGATGGAAATAGAAACACCATGTTACCAAAACATGCTTCAGATGGTTAAATATTATTGGCTTTAGTGTGCTGTGCTGATTTGGAGTTTGGCTTTGAATGCTGATACATTGTTATGATTTTAAATTTTACTTCATATTAAATTAAGTGTCACCCATATGAATTGGAATCATCACTAATAAAAATAATATAATCTAAGGCATCAACCAGAATCCAAACAGCCAGTTTATAATCCACAGAAAACTACACTACTACTAAGTCTTAAGACATTGCTTAAGAAAAGACAAGAGCGATATCTTTTGCAATTGGTGAGTTGTGCCACCCAGAAATATTCAAAATATCCCTAGGAAAAAAGAGATCCACTTTATTACAATTATGTAGCACCCAATAGTCAAAACTCACTAGGCAGGCCACAGCAATGATAGCCATAAAATGCAGGGTGATTTTTAAAAACCCTGTAGTATAAAACAAAGTAAAATTATAACAAAAGAAGCCGTTACTGTAATAATCCAACATTTTATGCATCTGTTCCCTGAAACATCTTAGGGTTTGACTGAAGCTCTAGTGACACCCTGTGGTATTCAGATTTAGGCAGCTTAAATCTGCATCTGTGTATTGAGAACAGGGAGTTCCTTTTATCTGTGCCATAAAGAAAAAAAATCCGATGTTTATGTGAGAACAATCATATGGGGATACTTGTTACAATTTCCAAAATGAGTATGTGAAATGTGAGGACTAAAATTTGTTAGAAAGGTTCACAAGAATATAGGTAAGAAAGCTAAAGGATGGGGGGAAACAACAAAAAAGAACAGAAAAAGCAAAGAGAAGAGACACAATGTATATGGCAAGGGGCCATTTGTCTTGACTTATGTTTGCATCATACTCATTTTCAATGAAGTCACTCTTGCTTTCTCTTCATTTTCCCTCTATCTGAATTTACAATATATTAGTATACACGTTTGAAGAATTTGCTTCATTAATCCTCCAACTTGTTTTTCCATCGTTGTGAAATCTGGTCAGGTTAACTATTCTTCAACAGAAATATAAACACTGTTAGTCTTCCAGACTTCTTACTCTGATCTTGTTACTCGGTGGAATTAACACACACACAAATTATAACACAAAGTGTCTTAAGTGAGTTAGCCCAAGAGCATCATCATGTAGCTTGTCAGTATGGAAGTGTGCATTTATCTCTGTTTTGATATTTTTGTACTTCTACAAGGTATGCTGCTTCTACTGCCTGTAAAGTCACCATTCCACAGTCACCTAAATCTTCCCACACCATATTATCATTCTGTATTACTTGGAACTAGGACTGGAATTCATTTAACAATTGTCTATTTCTCCTATCCAGTAGCATTGTTTACTAGCATAAAATCTGTCAAAGACAGACCCATATGTATAAACAAACATGCCACCCTCATGATTACTTTTAAAAATAATAATAAAACCAAAGCCAGACTGATGAAAAAGACAGTTCCTGAAGCAGTAATAACTAGAAGTGTTTTTGGAAATGATTGAGGGTGAGCCCATCCACTCTGAAAACTGACAGCATTCTGCAGAATATGGAACTGTGTAGGTTAGCCCTTCAGCTATTAATAATACATTATCAAATTACACAATAGTTAAATACCAGATAACAGAGAACGATTGCCTGGTGACAGTGACACATGCATTGGTTACTTCCCGATTGGACTTCTATAACGCGCTCTATGTGGGGCTGCCCTTGAAGACGGTCCGGATACTTCAGATGGTGCAAGATGGTGCAAAATAGAGCTGCCAGGTTGCTGACAGGGACTAGGCGTTGTTCTCACATAACCCCAGTGCTCTACCAGCTTCACTGGCTCCCCATCGAAGTCTGGGCTCAATTCAAGGTGCTGGTTAGCACCTATAAAGCCCTTAACAGCTTGGGACCTGCATATCTAAAGGAACGCCTGCAGCCATAATTGCCCTCCCACCCCTTGAGATCTGCGGCAGAGGACCTTCTCCGGGAACCCTCTGTGAAAGATATTAGGAAGGTGAGTACCCAGAGGAGGGCTTTCTCTGCGGTGGCGCCCCACCTATGGAATGCGCTCCCCAGAGAGGTCCGCCTGGCGCTGTCGTTATTTGTTTTTCGGCACCAGGCCAGGACCTTTTTATTCAAATGATATTTTAATAATTATTGATTTTATTTATTGGTTTTATAATATTGAGCCAGGATGTTTCCAGATTTTATATTTATATTTATATGGATTTATTTATGATGTTGGAAGCCATCCTGAGGCTTATGCGAATGGGACAGCATACAAAAATTCCAAATAAATAAATAAATAACAATATAACCATAACCATGCAGTACGCATAGCATACTGGAGTACTTTGCAGTTCTTCATAATTATGCAGTCTGGAGTACTTTGATATCCAATTTCAGCTTCCAAATATTTATGATTTCTAGCCCAGCCGGTATTGTTCTGATAACCTTTAACAATAACCAAAAAATTCAGATTGGTGAGAGTGTTTTTAAATGCTTAGTTAATTGTAGTTATTTTATTTTCCTTAATGTTGCTGACTGCCTTGAATACTATTTTACATAGATAGCAGAAAGGTAGAATATATGAATTATTTGAAGAAAGAAAATGATACATCTAATGAAGGGAGTAATTTATCAATTTCTGCATCAGAGATTTTTCAGCTTCTCTATACTTCAAACGTATACCTTGTAGAAGCAATACAGATTCTCAGTGGCTGCCCCCAGCTTTGGAATGGGTTTCCTAGGGAGATCCATCGGGCAATATCACTACTCTCATGTTTGTGCCAGGTGAAAACTGTCCTCTTTCATTGGTATTTTGAAACCTGATTTTACCAGCTGGCTGTCAATAAGAGCTTGTTCTACCACCAGCAGGGTTTTTTTCTCCTGTAACTAGAAATTATAATGTTGGTCTGTAATTTATTGTCGTTTGCCACTTAGAAAACCCTGTCAGATTATTCAGCAGCCAGTAAATTTAAAAACAAGTAAATAAGAATCTGTATTCTAAGAAGATACAATAATTGCCCTTAGGTGCATGTCTTTATGGAAACAGTACTATCAGTTTCTTCATTAAAAGTTACCAACAAAACTTGGGAGAAGCAGATGAGTCAAGGAACTCCCTTCCTTTTCCTTCTGCTATTTACACCTGGCAAGTACTCTACCTTTTGAAAATAAGTTCTCCAAAATTCTTTAGTTTTTGGAATTTAATAATCTAGAGCTCTTCAGTTCCCTACAAATTGTTTCTGGACATTAATGGCATATACATGCATTTACTGTTTCCCAAATTCCCACTGCCATAACCATTTGTGGTTATGTGCATCCAGTTATCTCCAACTTATGGTGATCCTATAAAACACTTCTGAAATGCCCTGTCTATGCCATCCCTGCTTAGCTACTCTAAATTCCAGTCTCTATATTCCTTCATGAAGTCAATCCATCTCTTATCTGGTCCTTCTTTTCTTCTTCTGTCTTTGACTTTTCCTTGCATGATTGCCATAACAATAGCTGCACACAAGGGTAGAAAGTATTGCCAGTATGTTTTGAATTGCTGCAATTCCGTATTAAGGTAAAGTGTGTGCATGTGTTTTGAGTAAGAAACACATGCACACACAACTGTTCTAATCAGCTTTCCAAAAACTTCACAGTCCACCAGTGCAGAGCAGAATCAATTAATATAATGAAAGCTAAAACAACGTATTTTCTTTCAGTAGGGAGAAATAAACCATCCTGAGATGTCTGTGATGGGACTGTATAGAAAGTTTTTAATGAATAAAGTTTAGTCCATTAAAAAAAAACTTTTAGTGTTCAGTACACAGCACTATCCTATTTTTCTTTACAAATGGGGGAAGGTGAACTGAGCCCCCAGAGCTGCCTATTCCTCCAGCTTGTTTCAATAAAGTGCCTCAAATTCTCAACTGCAAACCCCATCCTTATCGCCAGACCCCTTAAGTCTTTCTTCAAATAGGCGCCACAGACCCACTTCTGCAAATAACCTTTTTATTTTCCCAGCATTTTAACATTAACCTTTTAACTTTACTTTTAATGTGGCATTTTGTTCTGCACCGCTGCCACGTCACTATGCCGATTCACTTGCAATTGCTAGCGTGGTTTTGTTATTTTATGTTAATACTGTGCTGTTTGCGTGTTTTTAGCTTTGGTTAACCGCCCACATAGCCTTGGCTATTGGGCGGTATAAAAAAAATGAAAAAATAATTAATACTAATAAAGAAAGAAAGCCAGCACTCATCAGCGCCTCTCACTCCACCTGCGTCTCTCCTGTACAGAACACACAGCAGAAGGACCCTCTATGGGAAAAAGAAATCTGACGCATGCGCTCTTGGCCGCAGCAACGCGGTCGTGAGACGCTCTCTGAAAAGAGGGACGTCGTTCTGTCCCCTGGAATATCTATGGTTGAAAAGCCTACCTAATTTTTTTTGTTAGAAGAGGGGAGGCGCTCAACTTTACTCAGAGGTTATCAGAAAAGTTTGGGGGGGGCGTGACTCTGTTTTGCTATCTCTAAACCCAGTTCTTGATATTCAAGAGCTAGTTGCTGAACGTCACGATTACTTCAACCACGTCGAAATTTAAAAAATGAGCGTTCCACACACATCCCTCTTTTCCGGTTTCTATTTGGAAACCCCCATGCGGGGCTTGGGAGGGCCGGACTATAATAAAGAGACACTCTACCCTCATTCTCAATGATGCCACGGTCCTGTTTGCCCAGTATCCAGTACGTTTAATCGGAAACCGGAACCATCGATTCAACCCTCCCAGTTTTGTTCCGCCCATGAAAAAGAAAGCGGAAGTGGTCGCGAGCTTTTTCTATTTTTAATGTAAGATAGGCGGGCGGAGTGCTATGGAGTTCTAGGAAGTGCCTGGCTAGAACGGCAGCGGCGCGCGTTTCCTTCTTCTTTCTTGAAGGGAGGGGGCAAAGGTTGGAGGTCGGCCGGTGAGCGCAAGATGGTGGCGTCCGAGCGGCTCCGCGTGGTTCGCTGCGGCGGCAGCTGGTTGAGCGGGAGCCGCGCCGCCTTCTCCGCTGATTCGAAGTAGGTGGCGGCACCGTGAAAAGTGCGGGGGGGGGAGTGAGGGAGGGAGCTGCCATTCTGCACCTGGGCGGCCGGGCCGCCGAGGAAGCTGCAGCCGCAGAAAGACGGGCTTCTGTTTGCACGCTCACACGTGTGAAAGTGTCACCCCACGTCTTTTGCATCGCGTCGCATGGGGCTCTTAGGTGGCGTCTGACGCACTCTTCCTTGGGAGTAAACACCACTGAACGCGATTGTACTTCTTTCTGAACAGACAGGGATGGGATCGGGCCTGGGGCATCTTTTTTCTCCATGTCCCCGCTGCCTTAGGCCACGTTGTGGTTTGCGGGCTTACTCGCAGGTAAGGGCGTGTGGGATTGCAGCTTCACGTACACGTGTTTGTTCATGCCTCGTGATTCACTCATTCTGTGGCTGGCTCGGGGTAGAAGGTATGTTTTCTTCAATGGTGCTCCTTAATGTGGGGTGATGTACCGTTATGTGTAATGTATAATAGAGTGAAGGGGCAGAAAACCTTGTTCTCCTCGATATCTGGCTGTTGTTCTCGATATCTGGCTGTCCTATTCCATTGAGATTTTTATTAGGCAGATCATGAGAAGGCAACACTCACTGGAGAAGACAATCGTGCTAGTTAAAGTCAAAGGGAGAAGAAGAAAAGGAAGACCAAACAAGAGATGGCTCAAATTTATAAAGAAAGACACAACCTTGCACTTGGAAGAGTTGACACATTGGTGGACTTTCATTCATAGGGTTCCCCTAAGTCGAAGACAACTTGAGGACAGATGACAACAACAAAAAAACAAGAACCATTGTAAAGTTCTGAAGAGCAAGCATCTTGTATGGCTCAAACCATCAGAGGCACTGCTGATTAAATTTGTCTATGTGATTACAGCATTTGGCCTGTGTGGAATACTGGGAAATAAAGTGATTGTTTTCAGTGAGATGAATGTGTCCAAGAGTGCAGTCCCAGCCAAAGCTGTACACTCCCAGCTGTCCCCAACCAGCCAGGGTGGGTGGAGAACACATAAGAATGTGCTCCAGACCATATAGTAATCAATGCAAACCTTGTTACTTTTTTTGCTTCATTTTCTTTCTTTCACATATCCACTCATTTTCTTTCTCTCACATATCCATAACATCCCCACTCAGCAGAATTTTGGACAGCAAACTATTTGAACCAGGGTTGTATTGCTTCTTTTGTCTTATGTACCAGAATGCTATTAATATTATCAGAATCTACAGGAAAATAAATATGTTGGCATATTTCAGTCATTTTAACACTCTGGCTACCAAGATCAATATTTTATATGTTTAAAGACGTGTGTGTTTCTCTATTCATTTGGTATCCATATTGTTTTGTATTGCTGTCCTGAGATGTTTGTATAGTGCATGATAAAAATGTCCCAATAAATAAATAAAATATGAAACATGCAAGCTCATTGATCTTATATAGTAATTTAGGGTACAGTCCAATTTGTTGCAACCACATTTTTCAAGCCCCCAGACCTGAAGGGTTATGAGCATTCAGTGCAGGGCAGGAAAAAGAATGGAGACAATCTTCACCTTTTATCCTCCTGCCCTGTGTTTTTTACTAGAGGGATGTTTTGACCCATCTAGTGAAGGCCCTTCAGAGGCAGCGGGCCAGCATGGCCAATCTCCAGGCCTCTCCAGTCTCTGCCCTGCCCTCCATAATACCTCCTTTTCTCTGAGATCAAAATTGCAACCTTGGAGGCCAGCCAACATGATTCTTTCTGAGCTATGAGGGGAGGATGGGGGTGGATCTCCAGCTCCCTCTTTGAGGCCAGGATGCTTCCCTCTGGCCTTAGAGGGAAGATTCACAGCAATCCTGTGGCCCCTTAGACTCTGTCTAGAAGCCATAAGATTACTCTCTCTGTGATGCTAAGCATCATACTGGGAAAACATCTGGCTTTACTGTGCTTTTGTTTTTGTTTAGTCCTTCACATTCACTCTTGGCTGCACATGGACTGCTTATGGATTTGGTAAACTTCCAGGATTATTTAAGCTTTCATATTGACTCTATTGAGTGCTATTGATTTATTCCTTTGAATTCTGTTGTTTTCTAGGTATCTCATGTGTGCTTCAGGTGACTATGTCAAAGTCTACCGTACAGCTACAGAAGAGTGTCTCCATGTCCTACAGGGTCACAGCAACTTAGTGACAGGAATCCAGCTGAATCCTCAGAATCATCTGCAGGTTGTTAGGTTTTATAATAGCAGTTCTACCTCATTGCCTATTTTGTTCTGCCTCATGATATTTTCTAAGTTAAGGAGGTCTCAGATTCAGTTCTGCATCAGAGGGGAGAGTATCATGAAGAATGAATTCATGAAAATCTGAACCTTCTGGAAAAAATGGTTAACTATCTTGAGTCGATTGAGATAATTTTTGTCCTGAAACCTGAAAAGGGCTATGAATGCTCTCTTCCCTTATAATATGTATGACTGCCAATGAACTCTCTAGAAGAACTACTTTTATTCTTAGATGAAATATCTGATCATAGTACAAGTGGAGCATTGTACTTCTATCAGCACTGACTTCTGATTAGTTTGTGAACCAGCTGAAAATTCTGGTGAAGACTCTAAAAATGTTGTGTACCTTAAAGCTGGAATGGGGAGATCATTGCCTTCCAGATGACAATGGACTGTAGCTCCCTTCATCCCTGCCCATTTACCCTGCTGACTGGGCTTGATGGGAGCTGCAGTCCAAGAACATGAGGAAGGCCACAGGTTCCACCCCCATGCTTGAGAGATCATCTTGTCTCCTCCCTCACTTTTCCTTCAAGAGAAGTGTCCATCTGCATCTGGTCATTTGTAGAAGTGAGAGCTATAAGGACTTAGAGTCGCATCTCCTTCATGTAGCACCCACCTAATGGAAAACTGTCTTGCCTGCATCTGCTGCTATTTTGGGGCTTATTTAAAATGTTGTTCCTTCAGAAAACATTTCTTTCCAGTTAAAGATTATTGGAGCTAATACGTATCTGTTGTGAATGAAGCCAGAATCTTTTTGTACTGTTACACTGGTTGATTTTGATTATAGCTGTGTTTTGGGGATGTTTGTGCCCTTTATTTTTGGAAGAGAACACAATATATGCTGTTTTAATTAGATGGTTAGAACAAACAATCATTTGTTACTGTTCCTGTGACATGATAGAAAACAGTCAGCAATACTGGGAATCTAAATGCTCCCTATCTAAACAAAAATAGAAGGTTATAGATCACTTTATTTTTTCCCCTCCTCAGCTCTATTCATGGTCTCTAGATGGCACCATTAAACTCTGGGATTTTATGGATGGAATTCTCATCAAGGTTGGTTGAACTTCCTTTTTCTTCCTTTTTACAGTAGTTCATAAACTTCATTGTTCTTGTTAGATGGGTTGAATAGAGTGCATCATGGTAGATTCAGGCAGTCTGTGGCTTGTAAACATGATATTTGTTCAGGACAGGATGTGTTCTGTCACTGTCTCCTGCTTCATGGAGGTCATTTATTGAATGTGCAATGCAACACAATGTGTTATATCCAGAAGTAATCCTACTTGAAGCAGACCTAGTGAAATGAATGGCATTTAATTTCCATTGGATTATCCAAAGATTACCATTGGATGCAATCCTGTGCATGTACACTTAGAAGTAAATCCCACTGAGTTCAGCAGGCTTTACCTAAATAAAGTGTGTATAAAATTACAACCTGTTTCAGGGTATCAGTGCAGCTGGTAAATGAATCCCTTTTAGCATGTGGGCTACCAGGGCTTCACTTCTGTGTGATCCCTAAAGAGTGTCTAACTAGTTGTAAAGACTTGATTTAAAAGACACAGCACCTTTTAACAAAAGCTTGTGGAACACATGCAAATAATAACAGGAAAACAACAAAATCTGAACAGCATATTAAATAGCCATAAAGGGAACTCTGCTAAGACAACAGAGCAAAAAACCATTGAGCCGATCACTCTTTTCAAGAGCAGGGTGTTCACCAAACACAGCAAAGAACGAAGTGAGCAGGGTCCCCCTCTCTCTTCCCACCCATATCTCAGGTGTTACTTCAAGCCTAGAATGATTTATATTTTCCGTTAGCGATTCACAGTTGAATTTGTTTTTTTGAATTTGTTATTTGTTTTTCAGCACCAGGCTAAAACCTTTTTATTTAAACGTCATTTTAATTGTTAGCTTTATATATTGATTTTATATCTTCGGCCAGGATGTCTCCAATTATATTGTTTTTATATGTTTAATATGTATTTATTTATTGTTGTGAGCCGCCCCGAGGCTTCGGTGAATGGGGCGGCATAGAAGCTTACTAAATAAATAAAATAAATTTAGCTTTAAGTGCCATTTTATCAGCGAGCATGACTAAGAACTTCAATTTCCCATGTGCTAATTAAAGTGATTGACCAAACTAAAAACATTTGTTTCTTCAACATTCAACTTAGCTTCAAGTTGAGTTTTAATAGATTGCTTTGTTTTCTTCTTCTTCTAGACATTTGTCATTGGAGTCAAACTCTTTGCATTATATGCACTTGCGAGCTTTGAAAACTCAGTATTTCTTATTATTCCAAAGGATAATGATGACAGATCAGGTACAGCATAAGCTCTGTTCTTTTGTTTTGTGGGTCATCTTTTTTTTTTTTATTATTATTATTATGGTCCCATTGAGCTACTAGGAAGCTCTAGTTTTGTAAATGTCCAGATGGTAGTCATATGTGTGTGTGTGTCTGTCAGAGATTTATACCCTATCCTTCTATAAAACTCCCCAGTTTTTCAGTTTCCCATAGTTTCCAGAGATATAGTTTTAATCTGCTACAGCTTAATCAGCAAACAGTATTGTGATACCTTGAAGTCTTAAGCACGTTATGGCACAAGTTTTCCTGTACTCCTGCATGAAAGCAGGAGTAAATATACGAGTTCAAGTAAATATACTTGAGGTTCCACAAGAATTTTTTGTTGATTTAACTACGTTCAGAAATAGGATATTGTAGTAGCAAGGAGGGTTTTGTAATTTTTGTAAAACATACTAGAGGGACTTCTTTAAACAAGATATTACTTTGCAATTGGCAAGCTGAACCCTGCTGCAGAACAGGGAAACCACATGGTGCATTCAGACATAAATTTCATATTTTGCTGCTCAGAATGTGAACCCTCGGCAGGTGAATTCCTTTTCCGGCTGATAAGGATTACTAGTTAGGGTAAGGTGTACTGACTGATTTATCAGCACAATTTCCAGCATGTGCTGCTGACACTGGAAAACCAAGCCTAGGTATCCACCAGTGCAGAAGGGTGGACGGAGGCTGCTATGCCCACACAGAAAACCAGTGGCACATCATGCCTTGTGCAAAAGGGGTCAGCTGTACTGCATTGTTGAAAATGTTTAACTTCCAGTTATCATTTTAGGTACTTCTGGGTGCTGAGTGAGGTTTACTTTGACTCGGTTTTAGTTAGGCTTTTCTTTTTTGTTAACAGTTTAATTTTAAACTTTGATGTTGCATTTTCTCATGTTGCACTGTACGGGCTTAATTGTTGTGAACTGCCCCGAGAGCTTCAGCTACTGGGTGGTAAAGAAATATAAAAATAAATGAGTGTGTGTTTTCCCCTGCAGTGAAATTGCAGATTCTTTCTCCCATGCTGCCCAGCACAGAAATACTGTTTTAAATACTTCAGTGTAAGCTACTCGAGCACAGAGGATCAAGGCAGCACAGTCTAAAATAAGCTCGTGCACATGAATGTTTATAATAGCATTGAGACTTCTGATCCTGATAGTTAAACAGGAATGAATGTGCCAGTGCGCACATCTATGAGAAGCACTTAGGGGAGGGAGCAATCTTGCGGGCACTGGATTTTGTCTGAAAAACTGTAGGATAGGAAACTTTCCCCCCGGCAAAGAAGAACTGTACCAGCTGGTCTCTGGGGTCAGAAAAGCAACCTGAGAAAGGGGTATGTTTGGGTGGGAGAGGAGACTGAAGAGGCCATGCTGAGCTTTCTTGGGGCTTCTCTAGCTTTCTTCATACCCTTCGGGAGCAGTATTGCTAGATGGGCAAACAAATTGGTCTAGCAAAAAATGCAGGGTGGAAGGGCAGGGGAGCAGAGCTGACCTCCATTTCCCTCCCATGCTGCATCCATGGATTGCAAAACTCTGAGTGTGAGGCTTCTGATCACTGGGGGCAGTTGCACACCAAAGGCAAGACACCAGCAAGCTGCATGCTGTGACATGCACCTTCCTTGGTTCACTCAAGTCAACAAGCCAGGAGGCTGCAACTACCCAGAGCTTCCCATAACATTCAGATCAGAAAACTATTGTGAATGGTTCCCATAAAAGCTGGTTTATTGAAGCTATCTTTAATCCTCCGACTTACTAGAGAGGTTTTATGGGGTGGGAGCGAAGCTGAAGGGAGGAAACTTTCTGTGAGCATCTTTAACTCAACTTACCTGAGGATCCCGGCCATAGAGAGAGATTGTGTCTGTGCATGTGTCAGTCCTGCTACTAACAAAAGGTCTTCTGTTTCACAAGGTACATTTCAGCTAGTTTCAGTGAAACTTCCAAAAGTGCCAGATCAGGAGGTAGAAGCCAAGGAGCTGGAATTGATTTTGGATGGTGTAAGCCAGTCTCCGAAATGTACTGCCCTTGGAAGAGAAGTAAGCCTCCTTTGTTTTTCTGTCTCATGTAACACTGTTTAATTCATAGGAAACAATATATGAGAGTCAGTGTGGCATAGAGGTTTGAGTACTGGGCTGGGGCTCAGAAGATCTGGGTTCTAGTTCCCGCTCAGCCATGAAGCTCACTGCTTGACCTTGTGCTAGTCATTGCCTCTCAGCCTAACCTACCTCACAGGGTTGTTTTGAGGATAAGGTAGCCGAGGAGGACTCCTTGCAGGAGAAAGGTGGGATAGAAACAAAGCAAATTTTAAAATCCAATAGTAGTCACGCAGGTTTGTATCCAGAAGTTCAATTGAATCAGTTCTTCTTGCTCTTTCACATCCTGGCAAATGCAACAGTCTTCTCTACCTATTCTCAGGTTTGCGTCTTCTCCTTTCCTAACCTTTTTTTTCTGCTCTGCCCTGTTTCAGAAGCTTAGCCAAACACACCTCAGAGACCTTTATGCTTGCTTTGCATCTTTGTGGCTCGCTTGCTCTGCTTATTTGTGGTGCAAGGACAGCTTCTAGAAACAGTTTCTCATCACAACCTTGCAAACCCTCAGTGTGTTACAGTACAGATTTGTTCCTGCCTTAAAGAAGGGATTTTGTATATTTGGTCAAAACTCTGCAGATTTTCCTTCATATTGCTTTTGATGTCTCTGTGGTATGATGGATTTAAAAATGGAGTACTATTGGTGACTGCATTTGCACAATCCAGCAGTCCTTTTGTAGGTCATGGTGGGCTGTCAAGTCATGCGAGCCCAGATCATTTACCACAGGGTGACTTTTTTGAGGTCATCTAACTGCTCCGACAGCCCAAAGTTCATAGTTCGTTCCCAAGGTTGCTGTAGTCCCAGTGGGTTGCTGAGTCACCAACATGCAGAGAATTTACCCCACGGTGGGTACCTGGAAGCGACTCCAGTGGCATTCTTGGCAAGACCCTCCTGCCACTCTTGCCACTCTTGCCTGGGCCACCAGCAGTGGCAGGCAGCCCACAAAAGTCCACATGCTCTTTTGGGGCAACTGTTAGTGGCCTGGTGCCGCAAGCCCCTTTTTGCTAATGTAGTTTTTCCCCTTTTCCTCTTTTTTTGCAAAAATTGAGAACACTGATCCTCAAATTGGCAGCCAGTGAGAGCCCCTCCAAGGTGCCCAAGTGGCACCTTGGAGGGGCTGTCCCTGAATGGGCACCTTTTTAAATTTTTGTGTACCAAGTAGATGCAACATTTTTTTGTAATTTTTAAAATTGGTTTTATTTATTATATGTATGGCCCACCTTTTTCCCTTTCAAGGAACTCAGGGCAGTTTGCCTGATCCTCCTCCTGCTCCCTCTTAGCCTCGCAACAGCAGTGCTGTGAGGAAGGTTAAACTGAGTCTGCGGCTGGCCCAAAGTCACGCTGTAAGCTTTATGGCTGAGTGGGCACTAGAACCTGGCTCTATACAACAGGCTGGGGGGTGGTACTGGGGAATGCAGGGAAGAGGGGAACTTGCCTGCCACTCTCCTTACTCGACTTGGGGACCTCTGGAGAATCCCAGTCCTTTCTACAAATGGAAAGATCCCTTCTGTTCCCAGAAGGGCAGAAACCCTCTTCGCTTAGCATTTCATTCATCCATACATGTTCAGGACCACATTTGAATCTTGTCTAAGAGTTTTGGCATAAGATCCGTGCAGTGTAAAAGTCCAAGGAACGACTTCATGTTTGTGAACTGCACAGTTTTTTGCTTTTGCACTTTGGTGTGGCAGGGAGGACTGTTTTGCAAGCTGTTTTTGAAAGGCCCCCATTTCCAAAGTAGCGTAGCAGAAGGCAGCTGTGCAGAGTGAGGCACAGCCGCTGTTTGAAAAGCCCAGCTGCAGGTGCCTTTGGACACATGGCACCACATGGCTGGTTCTGCAGGGTCTCTGAGCCTGTGTTTCTCAGTCAGCAGCGATGTTGTCTTCTCCTCCCTCTCAACCTCAGTTGGAGTATCTGCGCTAGTAATTATTTCTCCAAAATTGCTCTAGATTAAAAAAAGAAAGCCATCTGTGTCGGAGTAATTTGTGCAGCGCTCATCCTTGTGTTGCCATGTTGCCCATCTGTTACAATATTTTTTGGTAATAATACTTGTTTGGCTCCCGATAACTTCTCAGTCTCATACTCTGCCTTGCTTCCAACAGGGTGAATATGTGGTATCAGTCTCAGAGTTTCATCTCCTTGTTTGCTTTTTCAAGAAGAAAAAGATGTACAGGTGAGGAGAGAGTGCCTACACAGACTGCTTTTGCCAAGCATGAGGCTGCAAGGAATATGCCTCTGTTGATCTGGAAAGGGACAGGAATTTGCTGTTCTTTACCAAAATGTTGGCAGCTCTGATAACGTTACTCCTTCGGTTCTGTTGCTTCCATTGCACGGACAGAATTTTTTCAAGAGCAGCGCTGTCTTGCCATATCCTGTGAATAGCACTTCACAGTTCCTAATTGCTAATTCTTAAGCTTTTCCTGTTCACTTTTGTAAGGCTAGAACAGACCAACAAGGGACTTGGTTCTACTTTCACCTCTGTGCCTCTCTTCTGAAACCTCTCATGTCCTCTCCCCTTAGTGCTTGCCTAAAAACATTTTGGACATTTCTAAAGAATAAACTCCTGGCCATCATCTTTAGTCACCCACTCTTATCCAAACATAACTGTTCAAAGTGGTGTGAACCAAGCCTTCTGAAGAATTAGATTTAATATGTGGTAGAAAATGGGTTAGCTACTTCTTCACCTCCATATCCTAGCTGTTTGAACCAATGATAGCATCCCAATTCCGTATCGCTTAGGTGAAGCCTGAGGGAATGTCCTGCACTTTGTCAGGGTGAATTCTGTAAGCACAGAAAAAAAGCAATGCAGAATTATTAAGTTTGTTGAATTACTTGCCCTTTGAAGACATGCAACTTCATCTGGGGCGACTTAGAGAAAAAGCAAGTAACGGGGACACATGGTAAAAGTTTATAAAAGTGTTGAGACAGTGGACAGAGTCGATTTTCTTCCTCATGATGCTAGAAATTGCATTGCCTTTGAAGCCACCCTGGGAGATGAAGAGCGGCTTTAAAATGACCTGAATGAACAAACAGAACCAAGATACATCAAGGGCTAGATAGAACTTGCATCTGATCTGGCAAAACTCCGTTTTTCTCATCTACTGGGCTTAAATGTTGTCAAGTCCTTCAATTTGTTCAGTCCGTACTGATCCAGTGTGCCAGCTAATTTGGCTACCGGGTTTGCCATCCCAGGCTTTCTGGGTGGTTCGTCCGTAATTCTGCATTCTTCCTGCTCTTCCAGTGTGTGCTATGCCCTGTCAGGGGAGAGGGGTGTTCTCACAGCCAGTATCTGAGTCCATGGAGTAATGTCCTGGATCGTTCTTCCTAATGCCTAAGCTAGCTAAAACTGCACCTCCTGTTTCTGAAGCTTCCCTTTAGGTTCCAAATGCAAGAGTAGCGCAACCGGTGGCTTCACGTGTGTGGCTTGCCATCCAAAGGAAGACTGCATAGCAACTGGACACAGAGATGGCAAGATTCGTCTGTGGTGAGGCAAATATTTGTCCATGTTGGTACTGACAGCCGTTGCTTGATAAGTGAGCACAGGCTTCCTTGCTGTACCTGGCAAAGGTTTACAGTGTAGGGACATGGTACAAACCTCTCCTCCCCACTGGAGCTTATGACAAACCATTCCTCTGGTTACAGTGGGTACTGCTGTGATCTTGGAAGGCATTGATTATTCAGTGAGAGTAGAGATTTGGATGTGTGAGAGTTTCTTTCGGTGTGTACTCAGAAGCAACCTGCCTGATTCATATCTCCTGAGCTATTGTGTCATTCGAGGCATGATTTTCCATCCAATTCTTTCCTTTTCTGAATTTTATGCTGGCATTTTTTGCTTTACAAAATGCATTTAAAAAAGGTATAGTTGCAGGGGTGGGAAATCCAGATAAATACATAAAGAAGGACAAACTGTGAATGAACATTATCAACAGACATCCACTAAAAATAGTCTGATCTGTCTTTCCTTAGCAGAGGAATATCTCAGCTTGGAGAGTTGCTAAGTGCAAAGATGGCCAGGCCTCCTATACCCCTTAAAATTGCTGATACTCATAATTCTGTAAGCTCTTTCTTGACTGGAAGGAAAGAGAAAACTTTTATAAGTGATAAATTGTGTTTATTACATTTAACTCCCATACTACTTCTGCAGAAATAGAGCAGCTTCCATATCATGCCCAGGAATCGGGGGCAGTTCTGCTTAGCTTCATTAGTTGTCAGTGTGGCAGAGTGTTCAAGTGTTGCACTAGGGACCTGGGAGATCTGGGTGCTGGAGCCCACTTAGCCATGGAGTCAGTGGGGAGACTTTGGGCCAGTCCCTGCCCCTCTGCATGTCCTACCTCACAGGGTGGCTGTGCCGAGGGCAGAAGGGGGGGAGGAGTATCTTGAATGCTCCCTTGGGAGGAAAAGCAGGGTATAAATGTAATAAGACTTGCCTTCTCCCAGCTGAGGGCAAAAAGACCCAGCACTAAGTCGACTGGTCTTAATTTCTAGTCATGTGATCTACGGCTAGTCGTGTGGATGAGAGTGTCTGTCTGAGTGCATATTAGACTGCAACTCCTGTGTGAAGCACAGCAGTGTGAATAAGCAGTGCCTTCAGTCCGCTGGGCTGTGCATTTGCGCTTGTACTGGAATTCTCACCTGCTGTTCCCAGTCAGGCAAGTGGTCCACACATCTCCTTTACTGGATCCAAGAACCTATCTACCTTATATCTTTAAAAAATGTGTTTTCTTTCTGTATATGCCATCAAAGAAAAGGGCTCATGACCCAGAGTTAACAATATTTAACACTTTAACAAGTACATTTATGTATTTGGGCACCTGTCAGTCCTGTCAAACCTTGATCACAATTGCATGTGCCTTTTATTCCAACAGGAGAAATTTTAATCATAAGCGAGAATACACATTTGCTACCATGCACTGGCATCATGATGAAGTTATGGATCTCGCTTTCACTGTGGAAGGTAAAGTCACACAAGCCAGGAGCGCTCTGGTTCAAGTCTCATTTCAGCCATGAACATACCAGGGGGCCCATAGACAAACTGCTATTTCTCAGTCTCTTTCCTCACCCCCCCACCCCCCCCCCATATGGAATATGGGAATAGGATTACCGACTATCCAGAGACTTTATATTAAGTGCTTTTGACATTTAATATTTGCTATGTAAATTGCAAGTATGCCAGAATGAAAGATAGATCCACCTGTATCTAACAAATGTATGGGAGTTCAGAGACAAACCCCAGCCAAATCAGCAAAAACCCTTCCCTACTAATCATAGTTATTTGTATTGCAGAATGGCAAGGGAATAAAATGCAGCATCCCGTTCTATGCTACTGTTTTCATCAACAGTTGCAAGTAAGCACCCTGCATTCTTTAACAAACAGGAAAGGCAAGCCACCGTATTAAAAAAAAAATCCATCAGAAACTGTGGAGATAAAAATCCAACTGACCTCAGTGGGAATTTGCGGAAGTTCCACAGTGTTTATTTTATTCTGGGCGTTTCTTTGGAAACAGGAAATGATTTGACATGGCAAGAGGCAGGATTTTGCTGTGTTACAGCATAACTGTTTTTGCTTCCATAAGCACAATCTAATTGCTCCCAAAGTAGTTCTCGCTTGAAACCTTTCTTTGTTTAACCAAATGTTAAAAAAGCCCTTCTGTTGGGATGTGTTTTCTGTGCTTTAAGTCAAGTTCCTAACAGCCTTGGGCACTGCACCTCCACTCAGAAGTAAATGGTGTTGCAATCCCCAAGCCTTAGAGAACTGTCTTCCCAGGACTGCAACTTGTCTTGCTTCACAAGCAAGCCAGCTTCACATTTGTGGCTGCAGATAATGGTGAGAAAATATGTGGGCTGGAGTCTTCAGCCTGTTGATCCTGGCCATCAGAAGTGTGCTTGCAGGCACTTCCCCTGATCCACACCAGCCACCTAATTTTTCTTTTACTCCTTAGATTTTTTCAAGTATTATTTTAAAATACGGGAGTGTTGGCCTCCTGCAAAGCAAAATAGTGCCCTCCAGTGCTATCTTTACCTAGGGTAGTTTTGAAACTCAGGCCCTGCCCCTGTCTCATTCTTGGGCAAGTTACTCTTCTTCGATCTGTCTGTGTACTAATGATTACTCAGAACTGCTCCAGTGGTTTTATCTCCAGCTCTCATCATTTCCTTCTGGGAAATGTGTTTTGTGACACTCCATTCCCACTGAGGCAGCCCTTTTGTGAGAGTGCCCCATGACTCACTCAAATGCACTCATTGACCCCGAGGATTCCAGAAGCTGAATAAATTGTGCAGAAAAAAAGCTGCACCAACTTGCAAGGCTTATATATGTTTCAAAATCATACTTGGGCAGAATGTTCAAGTCGCTGTCTTTTAGTGCAGCCCTGTAGTTAATGCATTAAATAATAGCGTTTTAGTAGCACGATGATATTGCATATTTGTGCCGAGTGACATGCCCGGGCACTGAGGTCTGTGCATGTTCTTTGGATTGGCAGGAACAACTCTTCTGAGCGGTGGGATCGAATCTGTCCTGGTCCAGTGGCGAGATGGGTCGGATGCCAAGAAGGAGTTCCTGCCTCGTTTGGGAGCCACAATACAGCATATTTCTGTCTCGCCGGACGGAGCCCTGCTTTGTACCTCCCACTCAGATAACAGTAAGCCCAAGTGGGAAGCAGCTTCTTCTAATAATAGGCCCCGCGGTTGCCCCAGCTCTCTTATCCAAGCAGGCACAGCTCCACGTTTCTTCAGAGGCGAGGCAGTCCTGCTCAGCAGCCGGTCCTTCCATTGGCCTCTTGCCCTCCCTGCCTTGTGATGGCTGCCTGTCAGTTCGCATACTAGTGATTGCTCAGAACTGCTCCAGTGGTTTTGTCTCCAACTCTCGCCGTTAATCCTCCTGCCTCCACTGGCCAGAGCCAAGGGTCATTGGTGGCATTGCCCAGAAGCCCACCAGCCGGGGTTGGCGGTAGTCGAGCCAAAACTTGTGCTTGTCAGAACCCAGGTCCTCCCACTGGCTACCACCCTTCTGTGCAGGAAGGGGAGCCAGGGCCACTTGCCCCAGGCTGTGGCCTTTCCTAAGCTGTGCAAATACGGGCGGAAAGGGGCTTGCCAGTACATCAGCCACAAAGCGGCCAACTTACCCTCAAGTTTTCCTCCAAACCGTGGAACTGGGGGTTGCCGCATAACAGGTGGGACAGTCCCACCCACCTCTGCAGTTCCAAGATTTGGAGTACCTGCCGGAGTCTGACAGGACACTCACCTTGGCAGGCTTGGCGAGGTAACCTGTGGAACCCTGGCACAGTTCAGCGCCAGGGAATACAGGGGGAAAGGATGCAACCTTTGGGCATGGCAAGTTGACTGGCAAGCAGATCATACCAGCCTTGTCAGATTCTTCAAAAGCAAAATTATTCCATTTAGGGGATTTCAAATTTCCTTTCAATGTAAACATCTAAAAATGAGGAGAAAATAATCAAAAGCAGAATAAAATAAATTTAGCAAGGACTGTGTGCAGACTTTTTAAAAAACCTGCATACTTAAAAGAGCCAAGCTTTTGACCCTATTGAATAGCAACAGGGAGCTGGTTCCAAAAAGGTCCGGAGTGACAACCATCTGAAGTCTAGATATTACTAGATTATATGGACTAGTGCAGATCCTGAATTGTCCAGTTATACACTGTCATTTTTAAATATATTGTAAGCCTTCATTCTTAACCTTGTTAACTTCTTTTAATACATGCAGAAATAGTAATCATACACAGCAACTTGAAAGTCTCTGCAGTAATTCAAGGATTAATCAGAGGTATGTTGTTGTTCTTTACAAAATAAAATAAAATTTCTATCTCATCAACAAAATAATGTACCAGCTCTTACTGTCTCTCTTCTTTCAGGCAGTGATGTCAAGACTGGTTTGATGGTTGATCCAAGAACTAAAGCTTTGGTTCTGAATGGCAAACCGGGTCATCTGCAGTTCTACTCACTGCAAAATGACATGCAGCTGTTTAACGTAAGTAAGCTCATTTAATGCAGCCTTATAAGCCCACAAACCTTATCAATGCACCAGGAGCCAGGTAGCCTGTGCTTGCATGCCGCCCCCTCCTCCACAGCCAGCGTGGAAACAGGGGACTCGGCAAGATCATTAAAAAGCCAGTGGCTTTCTATGGGGCAAGCTGGTGAAGGGGGAGCAGTGCTTACAGGATGGTTTTCCTTCCTCCGCACCAGTGTGGAAACCAAGCAGACTGGCAGGGGAGTTGCAGAGAGGTCCGTTCATTCTCCACTACCCAGTTCTGCCCCTACAGGGAATTCTGTGCACTTACCTGCCTAGAATCTGGTTCCTTTCTGGCCACCAGGCAAGCCCTCAAATACAGGGCTCACCTAATGGTCGCTCCTGACCTTGCCCTGCATTCGGTCTGCCGGCTTCAAGTCACCTTTGTGCCTGTGTCACACTGCCTTCTCTTCCACCTTCAGCAGCACCTTCCTGAACTGCTTGTCCAGTGCCACCCCACCTCTCCCACGCTGCATCTGCTACAGTGCAATTCCTGTCCTCCCCGGCTGTTACACTATCATCCTGGTTTTGAAGTCACCAGTAATTTGCTCCCTCGACTGATCTCCATTTCACGTGATTTCAGAAGCCTTTTGTCTGTCTCTTTAAAACAAAATTGCAGTTGGATATTGTGCAGCAGGAGTTCATCCACCAGTATGGCCTGAACCAGATTGAGCTAGTGAAAGCCGCATTTGACTCCAAAGGCAACTGGCTGGCTACACTGGAGCAGCAGCAAGGAAGCTGCCGCGAACTCGAATTGCAGATGAAGCTCTGGGTGTATGATGAGCAAACACAAAGGTACTTGTGCCTACACTTTTGAGGAAATCGGCCAAAGGCTGCGCTCTTCCTTGTTTGTTTATTTATTTATTTATTTATTTATTAAAACATTTCTATGCCGCCCCATTCGCCGAAGCCTCGGGGTGGCTCACAACATAAAATATAATGCATAAAACAAATTAGTTACCAGACTGCAGAACAGCAGTATTTCCCGACCCCATTTCAGCATCCCCTGCCCTGTTCTCCTCCTCCTGCTGTTGCCCCAAACCAGCCTTCCCCAGTCTAGCGTTCTCCAGGCATCCTCAGCCCCAGCCAGCATAGCCAGGGGTCAGCAATGCTGGGAGCTGTAGGCCAAAATTTCCCAGGGGCACCAAGTTGAGGAAGGCTGTCCTCAGCCCCTGAGGGGTGGCTCTTGAGACACCGGCATAAGATGCCACTGATGTGCTCTAGTGTCGTGCCATGACCCTGGCTGTCCACACATGCCCACAGGCCCCAAGGGACATAGGTCGCCGCCACATTCATCAAGTCTCCAGATGCTTCCACAAACATAGTTCTTCTAAGAGCAGTGCTCTTAGGGTCCCCTGTAAGCATGCATTTTGTGGCATTCCACATGCCTTCAGGAAACTGCATGAGCAGAAGCTCTCCGTGTGGGCCTTCACTAAGGGAGCAGCAGCCAAACAGTTCAAGCAATGCACCCCACAGAACTTCACCGATGCTTCCTTTCTGACTCGATACACAGGTGAGCTTCGTTTGGGTTGCAAATAGGCGCACAGCCTTGGTGTTCCCACGTGCTGTAGCCACTGTTTCAGCTTGCCTTGAATATCTGGTCCGAGTGTCACTTTATATGCCACATGGTACTGGTCCACTGCAGATTAGCTGCACTGTTGCTGGGAAGCTGGATGGGGACGTTGGAGAGCTGATGGAAAGATGCTGTATTTTTTTTCCTCAACATGCACCCCAGATACGTTGTATACTTCTGTTTGGGGCTGTTGTGGGTGACAGCCGAAGTCAGTGGCCATCTGCCAAAGGTGTGCCATGATTTTACCGGCACTGCTATAACCAGCCACTAGTGGCCGTGATGAGCCCGCCACCATGCACTTTCTTCCTGCCGTTCAGCTTGGGTTAGTAGATCTTTCAGAAGAGCACAGCTTGGCTGATCGTGCCCCAGGCCGGTTTCTTATGCTGGGTAGCATCACAAAATGAATGCACTCTATTCAACGAGAAGGATAGTTCAGTCTAATAAAGTGAAAATATACCGTCCAGAAATTGCACTTGCTGTTGAAGTTGGCATGGATGCTCAGAGCTCAAAGCAAACTGCTTAGGCCAAAACCCAGCACAGAGTTTGGCACAACAAACCTGATGTCTGAGAAATAACCTTTCCTTTCCTTTCTCGAAGCTTTACTCTGAACACAAGAATAAATATGCCACATGAGGATCATATCACGGCTCTGTGTTTCCGAGATACAAACGAGGCTGAAGACGTAACACCAACATTGGTAACAGCTGGCCATGATGGACACTTTAAAGTCTGGATGCTTCAGGTTGATAATGAAGGTGAAAGTACGTAAGATGAGGGATGAGTTTGTATTCCTCTTGGAGATGGGGACTTTTATTCCATTAGTTTCTGGATTTGGGTGACGGGCTTAAGCCATGGCAGAGTAAATATTTTTCTTTCCATGTTGTGGATCACAATTTATATGCCTTTTAAATGTATGTCTCCTGAAGGCTGAGGAGCCAACAATGAACTTCAGAGTACTTCCCAAACTCAAGCAAAATTATATCTTCATGTCTGGCTGCTCCCAGAACATCATCAGAGCCTTTGTCCTCAACTTCTTCTGCTTTGAACTAGAGATTAAGGTTATAGACTGCCCTCACATCTCAGTATGCCAGAACTCTCAGCAAGCCACTGATAGAAGCTGTTGGGTCACGGCCGCTTCCAGCAGGAGTGAATGAGGAAATTGAGGACTTGCTGACTGTTATGTCTGAACTGGAATTCCTGGCTTGTTTTTCTCCGAATGAGCCAGAACTGTAAGCCAGAGCTTATTTTTAACTTGCATTTCTGGCTGGGTAGGGCGGCAACAAGCCAATAATTGCCGTTTGTGCATAAACGTAAACAAATGGCAAGCTGTTTCCTGGTTTATTTAGTGGCAGGCAGGAGTGTGAACCAACCCACTCGCTCTGAAAGAACAACCCGAATCGCAGAGAATTTTGACTTACTTGAACTATGAGTCAGGCAATCGGCAGCTTGCAGCCTGCCTAATTTCTGGTTCCTTTAGACCCTGTTTTTCCCCTCATCTCCAGGGCAGAAATGAGAAGCTGCTCACAGAAGACAATGAAAAAATTCAGGTTTTTAGTGTAGGTATCACTGGGCAACTGGATATCTCTTTAAATTAAACAGTGGAGATGTTATCCCTGGCATTCCACAAGAACGCAACTGTTCCCTTTCCAGACAGTGAGATGCAGCAGTCTAGTATTTTTCTGTCTGTTCTCCCTCAGACCTGAAAGCTTATAACACACAGGTCTTTGTCAGGCCATTTGAAAATGGACAAATGCATCAAGAATTGTTTGTTTGTTTATAGTTTTCCTGTGCCATCCGATTACGAAAAGTCTTTGGACAACTTACAAAAGACAAAAAACCATGAACAAAAACCATAGCAACAACACACAACACACACTACATCCAATAAATAATGATTAAAAACAAGGACAAAAGCAATTGTTAAAATGCCGGGAAAATAAGAAGGTCTTCTCCCGATGCCAAAAAGAGTAGAACAACAGTTCTGTCTTTATGGTTCTCTTTCTTTTAGCTTACAAGCTTCTGCATATCAGGAGAGTCCCCCAAGTATGTGGAAATCACTCCCTTCTTTTGGAGAGACCCCCTTTCACCTCTAAACTGATTGGGTACTCCATCAACTGAGTTTGTGATTAGAAAAAACTTCTACCTCTGCATTGAATGCTTGTTTTTCTAGCATTGGATAAGTCATCCAGCTTACCGTATGCACTTGAACCGACGGGCTGAAGCACTGCTGTTTGAAGTGCCCGAGGTTCGGGGATTTGTTCTGCTTTTTATGGGCACTGGGAGATACCCAGTTATTGTGGGAATGCAGTTTTTCTTAAATGTGGTCCTAACTACTCTACAGCGCAGTTGTGAAAGAGGAGTCCTAATCAAAGCCCTGGATGTATTTCAGGAAAAATAGCTGAGGGGGCACACCCAACCCCTTGAAGAAGAGAGCTTTTCTAAGAGAATGTTTAACTACTTCCTTGTAATGCCAAATGTGGAGTCATGTTTGTATCAGGAAAAACCTGTACCTCCGCTGTTGGTATCCAAGAATTACTGTTGTGAACAAGGTGTCAGCAAAAATACATAATTTAAACAAGTTAATGGTTTGCAAAAGGTTCTGACATTTTATTGAATTATAGAAGACACAGTCTTGGGGAGTAACTTATCCAGCATGTTACACACTCCCAGTATTTTCTGCTTGCTCTAGCAAATGTGCTGCTAGCCCTTGATGAGTATTCCTGGGCAGGGGTCATGCCAGCAGTTGTGGGGCAGCCCCCCCCCCCACCACCACCACTCTCTTTCTGGCCCCAGCTTGGAAGGAAAGCTGGGAGTGCTTTGGCTGTTGCATTGGAAAGACCGTGGAAGCATCCTGGCAGCAAGGTCAAACTGGCACGCCTCCTGCTATGCCATCCTTCAGCGGAGCATGAAAGGGGAGGCTGGGGCATCTTTGGTCACCCCTTGGCCAAGCCTCCAGGATGGGTAAGGTGGTTGCCTCCCGTTTCCAGTGGGAAGGGAAGTAGAGGGCTCCCTTGGAACCCACGGAGCATGGTGTCTGGAGCACCTTGCCCACGTGGCTAGACCCGCACAGCAAGCAACTACTTCTTTGACTTTGCTACCAAGGCATGCCTTAAACATCTCATGGGGTCTTTACCGTTCTCTTTTGTCTTTTTAACAGACCAAAGCATAACTTGGACCTGCGATTTTGTAGGAAGCTATCACAATTATCGAGCGACGAATTGCTGTTTCTCTGAAGATGGGTCTTTGCTTGCGGTTAGCTTTGAGGAAATAGTCACTGTGTGGGACTCTGAAACTTGGGATCTAAAATGCACTTTCTGCCATCGTCCTGGAACTATACTGTGGGTAGCTATATGGTTTTGATCTGCCGTGTTGCTTGGCTTTATTTTTATTTAAACTCTTTGGAATGCATAATGGCATTAACGTGATGAAAATAACTTATTGTTCCTTAAATTCAAAACCTTAAGAATTTGCTTTTCAGAAGAAAATCTGCTAGGCCCTTTGAAGCTTTCAGCAGAATCTTTGTTCAACAGGGGCAAGATATGTCAATAGAAACAAGGCCCTGCCAAAATCAAATTATTTTCTGTGTCCGGGATAACTTGTGTGAAACTTGCAATTGCTTCCCCCCCCCACCTCCCCCACCCCCGCAAATTAGTCTGAAAAGGCTTTAGTACAGGTTCAGGCCCCTGAGTTGAGAATAAAGATGCAACAGGTGAAAAAGTATTTGGAGGGGAAGGGATTGAAAAAGCTATGAGAGTCAAGGATTTTCTGAAATGTCCCTTCCAGGACAAGGGACAGAAGTTCTGTTTTTAAGTATGTACTGGATCCATATCTGGTTTTTTCATTCGTTTTCATTTCTGCAGCTCCCCCAGCTTTGGAGCAAACCTCTTTAAAATTAACTAGTGGCTTCCCACATTGTGTGTAAGAACTGTGGTGGTGGGAACTCTGTAGAAAGATCTGGCTGCATGTGTGGTCGTGAGCGTGTGCGGTTGTGAACATGAGCAATACCCGATTTTACTGTGGCCCTCGTCTACCTGTACTGACACTGATTGTGTAAGAGTAGCTGTTGTAAACTAGCTAAATTAAGAGCATTCCTTGCAGGTCAGGCTGAACACAACACCTTCCTCCTCCTCCCACTCAGCTATGAGTACCTTGTACTTTTCGCCCTGGGAGCAAGCCAATTACTCCTGATAGCCTTCCAGCAAGACAGTTTTGGGAAGCTTCAAGATCTGCGCGAATTGGCATTGCCCTTTAGCACTTGCACATATTGCTCTTTAGTAGATTGCAACAGAACAGCTTAGTAGGAAACTGCCAAACCTCAGTGTGTCTGTCAAATGCCATTCATGGTTCTGCCTATGCAGAGTAAACATGGACACGGTTGCCAAAGGGGAGGGCAAGTCATACTGGGTTACATGATCATGAAATACAGACCAACTGTCCGTATGTACAATTAACTCGTGAGAGAGATGTGAGAAGAAGGAGAAAGGTTGCAGGGGAAGGGACAGGAAGAACTCGACCAGTGTTCATTCTCAACGCTTGTCTGTTGCGCAGGTGATGCTGGATCAGACAATACTTGAGACCATCCAGCACGACCCAACTGGAAAGGGAGATGAAGTCTCAGATCTCTGTGGAAAACATGTAGAAGTGTAACCCCTGCAGAAGGTCCCCATGTATGAAAAAGGGCCAAACCAAGTTGCACTGCCCCCCGGAACACGATCTCTTTTACAATGGGATGCATGAGAGCCAGTGTGGCGCAGTGGTTAAGAGCCTGGGACTGGGACTCAGACGGTCTGGGTTCTAGTCCCCACTCAGCCCTGGAGCCAACTGGGTGGCTTTGGGCCAGTCACAGACTCTCAGCCTCACAGGGTTGTTGTTGTGGGGATAAGATGGAGGAGAAGATATAAGCTGCCTTGAGCCCTTTGTAGGACAAAGGCAGGATATAAATTGAAAAAAATATGGCCTACCTCTCCCGTGTGTGCCAGGTCCCAGCCATATAATGAAGCAAAGGTTGAATTAAAATTTCCATTTTAAAATGAAATGACTTTCTTAAGTTAGCAGAAAGCTATAAAACCTGTAGAAGGTCAGGCCCCCTCTTGTAAACAAACTGCAGATGAGGAACAAGAGGGATAATGACTAGTCCTTCTATCAGAGGAGGGAAGTAAAATGAGAGAAGTGAGTGGCTTAAAGTGAAGGAACATCACTGTACACACCTGCCTGCTGCAGTGATCCCAGCCCAGGAAGGTCAACTGGCTGCAATGGCTGCTTAAAGGTGCCTTTGTTTAGATCAAACTGATTCAGTAGTGATTCCATCAGACACTGCAGACTAAAAGTCAGTTAACTTTGTCTTGATTTATTCTTTCAGAAGCGTGTGTTTTGGGAGGCTAAGTTGTTCAAAGTACCTTCTGGCCACCACCAGTGGAGGCTTTTTGTGCTGTTGGAACTTGCTGAGCTGTGCATGTAAGACCATTTAGCCTTCTTTTGTGGGATTCTTTTTTCTTCCTTGGTTTTTATTTTTGTATTTTTAATTGGCTGTTCTGACAAAAGCCAAGAAAGTGATTGCTGTATATTGCTAGATTTTTCTTCAGATCACACCAAAGAATATGCAGATTAAATCTCTTTAGATATGTATGAATTGGGCTTTCCGAGAATTGCATAAAAACTTCAATGAAAGCAGACTGAATAATCCAAATAAGTGCCCATTTGTAGATTAACCCATGGTGTGTTTATTTGATTGAGCAAAAATGACTTTATTCCCTTTCATCAATTATCAGGTACATAGAACACTTACAGACCTGATTCATCAGGTTTTGATCTGCAATATTTTAGTATTGCACTTTTAAAAAATATGTTGTAACAATATGACCTTGTTCACACAGCACAGCAGTGATCTCGGGGTTGTTTAATCCAGCAATTGTGATGCTGAGCATTTGTGCTTTTAATAAACAGTCCAGGAACTTGCCCGTGATCTGTTGTTGGAATCTTTGGTTGTTTAAGTCATATATGACACAAAGGATTTTGTTTCACACATTCCTTCCTGGTTCAGTAAAAGTGGAAATAGCTTATTACTCACATGCTGCACTCATCCCTGTAATTCCTGGGTTAAGAAACCCCAGCATTTGCCACCATGGCATATAGATTAGGCCAATATCACATTAGATTAAAGATCAACTGAATACAATTGAATTGAACTGAAATGAAATTAAATTAAATTAAATTTACATTTATTGAAGGCACTTAAGCATGTATCCATATAGAAACATTCAAATATCTACGGACATGGAAACTGAATGCATATTTTTTCCCTTTTTCATTGTTAATGCCTAAATTAAACAAGTGTTGCATCTTCACCAGAAAGAAGATGCTAATTAAAGGGTATTGCAGTAAACTCTAGCTGCTGCGTGTTTCATCAAATGATCAGGCATTACCTTCTGTCTAAAAGGCAACCCAAACAACCAATGTAGAGGCTAATTGCTAGACTAGCATCAAACGGGTGGGTGAATAATCACTTAAGCATTAGTAAAATTGTAGCTCAGCCCATGGCTTTGCTCATGCTTCACTTACATCTGCAGTGATGTAGGAAGAGAAAGTTTCTTAGAAATAATGCACCATTTTAAATATTTCAAAATAAAAATACAAGTTCAGAACAGGACAGTATTTAGAAATATATCAACAAACCAGCAAATAAACCATTTTTACAAGAGGCCAGAAGAGTAAAAGAAAGCCAGTAACAACATACCACAAGTACATCAGCCCAAAACATTCTGCCTTGTTAATGCTCTCGGGAAGCAGCCTGACTGAGGAGATCCCACGTTGTAAGTGTTCCATTGCCAGGTGGCCACAACAGAGAAAGCGTTTCTGCAGGGCTACCAGTTGGGCCTCTGTCAGCAATGAGACAAGGGCAGGGTCTCCCATTCCTTCCAGAACAGGCAGGACAATCGGGAGATAAGAATCAGATTAAGAGTTCATCTGAAAACTATTCTCAGGCCAGGAAGAATGGGCATTTGTTCCATGAAGTGGGAAGAAACTTTTTACATCTTAAGAGCAATCTAGAACCCTTTCTTCTGTCCTGAAAACACTCCTGATGAATCAGCATGAGCTGAATTCCACCTGTTCCCATAGGAGTCCAAAACATGAAACTATTCATGGCCTGTAACAGGTTCCAGTTCAGCAAGATAGCTGGTCTAATATCTCCCAGTTGACCCAAAGTGAGTCAGTACTGCTTATTGTGGTCAGCATGTGATTTATTTTCCACAGGATGGCCCTGACATACCGTAGTTCCACTTGCTGGCCATTGCAGATTTCTCCTTGCATTTCCTTTGTAAGAATTTCTTGTTTTCATAAGTGTATATACAGTCTTTAAAAAACTGGGGCTGGCATGTTTTAAAATGGGTTTGCGGCATGTGCCCCTGGCCCTATTTTGCAGCTGCTGAAGTTTGCTACAAACGCCGCATGTTCCCTGCGAAGCTAGGCGTGAGGGGAGCCTGCGCCTTTCTTAAAAGCAGTGCCACACTCTTGCTGTATACCGGGGTGCGGAGGGCAGCAGCCTCTGGTGGCATTCAAGGAGAGAGAGTGGTGTAGTGGCTAGGAGAATGGGACTGGGACTGATGTGATCTGGGTTCTGGTCCCCACTCAGCCATGGAGCCAGTTGGGTGACTTCGAACCAGTCGCTGGGTTCTTGTTGCTGTGGGGTTAAGATGGGGAGCAGGAAGAGGAGAATTATTTAAGTCACTTTGAGTTCATTGTAAGAAAAAAAAGCAGAGATCTACATCTAATAAAGGAAGATCAGAATTGGCCTCCAAAGTTGGCAGCCCTCCTTTTATAGGTCTAGTCATCAAACTGTTGATCTTGAAACCTATCATGGTTTTATGGCTCTGAAGTCTTCCTTTTAGACTCTGCACAAGAACAGATTTGCCTTGCTGGAACCAATGAGGGTTCATCTTGTTCCGCATTGTCTCTCTGGAAGTAACTGAGTAGATGCTGTAATATCCCTCAATAGGAGAGGCCTGCACTCTGCCAATATCCCCTTTTGACTGGCAGAGAGACAGGCCTTCCCTTCAAGAGTCAGCATGGGGAGGTCTTCAAAGTAGAGGGAATCTTGACCGTCCCCTGAGAGCTCACTCAAAGTTATGCAGTACAGCGTGTCCCCATGGACATGCTCGCTCGCGTGTGTGCCCTCCCTCACACCTAAGCAGTGCCGTGTCTGTATGGCTCAGCTTCAGTTCATTGCATTCCTCTTGCACCTCATCTTTCCTGGCAAAACGGCTTCTTTGGAGAGTCTGCGGTTCTCTTTCATATCTGATTATTTTGGTTTCTCAGTGGAATGGAGTGCCCAATTAAGCGCCATCATTCTACAACCTGATGGACTGTCTGAAAACATAGCTGCTGTTTCGTGGAACTCGGAATACTCTGATGGTGAGCATAAAGGCATCTTTCTCTCTTGTCGGGAGAATGGCCACAGCTGTGGAACCACGCTGCCTAGGAAAACAGACTGGAAAGCCTCAAAAAACAACCCTTCTTAAAACAGACTGATTCTGCCCACGTGGAAACTAAACCATGGCTTGGATTTAAAGACAAATTAATGGAAGTAACTTCACTGAAATTAACCTCACGTTTCCCCCTCTTCTCCTCCTTGCAGCCACTTGACTCTCCCAGAAGGCCTAACAGGAGTTTTGGGGGGTCTTTTGAATAATGTGCAAGGGGCTTCCGGTGGAGGGGAGAATTTCCCAGGGTTGTTGAGGGTGACCCAGTGAACTCCCTTAAATTATCTTAGGATTGAAGCCCGGATTCCAACTGTATTCTATTTCTTTTATTAGACACTTCAGATATCATGTCTTTTGTCCTGAAAATGATTTCTGGATTGTAAGTCCAGCATTATAGGAAAAGCAAAATTAATTCAGTGAAAAAGGAGTATATGGCAATGTTGGTATCACACTGTCTTTTAATAATAATCTACGCTTTTAGGCAAAAATCATGTGACTTAATATACAGTTCAGAATCCTTTTGATGCCTTGATAATTGTCGTCAAAAGCATAAGACATGTAGGAAGAAACTAGGATTTCCCTTTTAGTGTTCTTTATCCTATCATTTGTCTACAGCCTATTTCTCATTGAGGATATACAGCCAATCACAGGTTTACCTCCTCCTAGAGAGCTCGGACTCAGCATTGCAATTAATGCCCATCTTCAGTTGAGCTCTCCATAGGTAGGGAGCAGGCTTCTTATAGCTAGATTTCTCCAAAGCCCCATAGTTTGGATGGTTTCTTTATCATTTTGTGATTCAGTGGCTCTCCACTGCAGAAGTGAAATAGAGGCGAGGGTTGTATTTTGGAACTAAACTTTCCTTCTTTCCTCAGTGTACGTGTTTAAACCCAGTGAGCCACGACCCTTGTGCATCCAGAGGAAGGTCTGCAGAAGCAAAGTCCGGTGGGCTGTCTTTGTTCCAAGAGATGTGCCCGAATGTATCAGCTCAGAAAAATACCAGTGGCTCAGCCAATCACAGTTTTACTTCCTGACTGAAACTCATGTAAGTTTTTGCTTTAAATGATCTGGGACAACATTGTAAAGAGCTAGTAGTGGATCAGAATGGAGTGTTTTATTTTTAATAATTTCTGTAGACCCATTTCAATACACTATCATTCATTTTCCCATGACCGATGTGAAATAGATAGGACAGGAAAAAAGACAAGGGCTGCATTCACATGTAATGCTAAACCATGGTTTATGTTAACCACATTCGTTGCTGTAGAACTGTCTCACAAACAAACTGGCTTGTTTTCCCTGTTTCAGATTTATTTCACCCCTGCCCATTTTGCTCTCCTTCAGAACGATTACATTTTAAGGCTGCTTTTGCTGGATTATTCTTGGCTCAGGGTGAACAACAGTGCAAACAAACCAGGAATAAGCCACAGTTCAAACATTGCAGTAAGCCATTATTTAAACAAGCCAGGATTCACACCCCACACCAAAGCATTAGTTCTCTTTTTGGGTTGTTAGTGATTAACAGGCTGCAACAATGCTTAGCAGGTACAAATCTCACAGCAGGCCTTTATTAGTAAGCAGTTGAGCCTGAGTCGCTCACTTCCAGACTCAAATTTCTCTCGGCTGCATGGCCTCTGAATTAAGTATTTTTGAATTCCCTCCTTAGTATAAATTCTTAGATTTTCAAGGAAAATGGCTTGAATTCAAACATTTATATTGGTTTCCACACATTTTATTAGTTGTTGTTATGGTCATTACACTGTTAAAGAAATACTAGCCAATAAATTGAAAGTTGATTGATTAAATACACATTCATTTGCATAAGAGTAAGACCTGGCTTTGTGTTGCAATGATTCCATCAGGGAAATGCCTCTGCTAAGTCCATGTCTGTTTTCAACACTTTTATTTGTTTTTTTTTTAACTTCTGAGCAGCTAAAAAGTTGCCGTTCAACAGATATTTTCAAAAATATACTGCAATCCTGTATCCACAGTGAACCACATGGGACTGACTCCTCACTAGAATTGTACCCTTACAATGTATTCCTGTTGATTGTGCCTTTGATGACCAGCAGCTCCCGAACTCGGCTCCCAATTATCTGATGCAGGGTAGTAGGAGAAATGGAGGCACTTCCTGTCCACCTGTCCGATACATTTTGCTAGAGGGGTTTTCCTCTCCCTCTGTATATTTCACTGATGATAGTACTTTGTGGGGTGGGGAATGATGCTGACAGAGGCTTAGCCCAAGCGCCCTCTCCGGTCTTCTTCCCTCCCCACCCATTGGAACACCCCCTTTTCTCCCTCTACAAGGCCAATTTTCCAACCTTGGAGGGCAGCTGGTGCAGTTATTGCTGCAGTAACGAAAGAGGTTGCATTTCTAGTTGCCCCTTCCAAGGTCTAGTTGCCCCTTCTGGAGCTCCAGCTCCAGAGCAGTGAATCCCCAATATTCCATGGCCCCTTGGGCAATGCCTTACAGCAGTGGAATGGTCGTGGCCTGCAAATTGAGTTTCCCTTCGCGGTGGCCATGCATGCTCCTTCCATTAGCTGCTTCTAAATGTTAAGGTACCCTTGGAACAGATGGGACCGAGGGGAAGGGAAGTTCTCATTGCACAAGTAACATTGGAGATAGTTCTATGACTTTCACTAGCAAAAAAATTGATATTATCAGGATCTATCTCACTTTCCATCCATGGTGATACTAGCTTTTTCCTTACTGCTATTAGTTCAGCTGTCAGTTGGAATTAATGAATATCAGTCCAACTGTAGGATCTTCACATTTTGACATACAGGGGTAAATGCAGGGAGAGTTTGATCTGGTTTGCATGACATAATCCATCAGCAGTTATTTGCCTTGTTTGTTTCAGGATGGCTTGTTGGAATGACTGAACCCAGTGTGGTTTCTTCACTATAGTCTTGATAACCATGCACAAGCCACGCTGAGAGCCCATGGCTGGTCATGGTGTATGAGCCTGGCTTGCATGTAGGTCGTCAACGAGAGCTAAAGAGCTCCCTGGAAAGACTGTTGAAAACCTCAGGTGCTTCTCGCTGACCTCCCTAGACAGTGATCCCTTTCTTTTTTCTTTTACCTTCAAGGATCTTTGCAGAAATTTAATGTTACTGCACTTTAGCAACTATGTGCAAATCTCTCCAAAAGTTTTAAAAAATAAAGGCCAAGATGCACAAATCTCTCCAAAGGTGGGAAAAATCATGCTCCATATGCACAAAGCTCTCCAAACATGAAACAGAAATAATGCTAAGTGTGTATTTGCACTCATTAGAGAAGTAGGTTGTTGGTGTGCCATGCAGATGTTAATGGAACATGTGCTGGAAATGAGTGGGAAGATGCAGTAGCAAGGAAGCTACAGGAAACCGCAGGGTGCCTGATGGTCTGTTGGGAGTAACATGGATTAGTGGGCAGGCAACTAACACACCGTGGCTTATTTTCAAGGGCGGCTTACTGTGATGTGTGAACCAGCCCATTATCTTGTCAGAATAGGAGTCATTTTCCCATGGACCAGACCCACACCAGGAAGGAACTGCAGACATGTGAGGAGGGCAGGGGACTGTGTCATTCGTCCTACGTAATGTAGCTCCTCTCTCTCAATCAGGGATGGCCAACTCCAGCCCCCTCAAAGCAATTTTCTTTGCCCCAACAATATTATAATTTTGAATGACTAGGGGGAGGAAAATATGTTCCCAACATGTCACTTGAAGGAGAAAGAACAATTACTCCAAGCAGCAAGAAATATTCCATACTCCATTTTATCTCTCTTCCGGATTTTATTTTTAATGCACATGTGGTATGTAAATCGACACACTTTTATAGGCATGTATCTCAAAGGATTAACTTTTAGTGTCATTTTTTAAAGGTTCAGAATTATCTTAATAAAAGGTTACAGTATAAATTTGCTTCTTCATTCTGAATGTTTAGGAGTTGATGACATTTAGCACAAAGACCCCAGAAGAGAGGCTAATGCCTTCTAGCAGACAGGTAAGGCGATTTGCAAAAGAAATCCACTTTGTAAGCTATCTCCTCTTTAAAATATCAGCTTGTCCTAAATTAAAAATCTGCTACCAAGTACCATGCAGCACAGACCTGGTGACTGCAGTGGGGGTGGGATGACCATCCCCCACTGTTATCCAGTTAACACTGTCACATATCCTCATTTTCAAAGAAGCTCAGGGATGATTCAGTGTCTGTCAAGAATGTTGTCTTTCTCCACACAGATCCATGCCTTTAACTTTTAAGTCACAGAAGGTAATAGTTGTTGGAGCATGCAACAAAAAGATGTCAGCTCTGCCAGGAAGTTCTTTAAGTTGACTACTCAGTAAAGGGTTAAGGCAGGCTTGTGTTGTCTGGCTCAGTGGCGAAAGTGAGTTTCTCTGTGTAATTTGGGGGTAGGGATTCAGTGGAAAAAGCCACTTAATTGTGTCAGGAGGGACAGCAAGGCCTGGCAACACTTGCCAATTTCAACTGATTCTTGCTTGGTTGAACAAGTGACTTGTCCTGCTCCTGGAAGTGTAAGTAACATTTAAGCAGCTGCACTTACAAAATATATAACCAGCAAGCTTAGGGAACCTTAGAAAGCATTTCTTGTGCTTGCTTACCTTAGAGAGCATCTGCTTAGAAATAAGTGGTGTGGGAGAGAGATGAACTCTGCTGTTCCCATTGTGCTCTACCATCTGCAGATCTCTTAAGTTATTTGGCTTCCTGTATAACCAAAAACTGACTCACTGAGCCCACAGTGTGGGACGCCATTGGCAGCAAATGCCGATGCGCCAGCCATTGCCAGCAGTTATGTGTGGGACTGCAACTCCCATCCCTCAGAAAGCCCAGTGCTGCCTAGAGGATGCTAGAAATTGTAGTCCAATACATATACAGAGACACCAGGTTGGGGAAGTCTGATTTAATCCTCGACAATCAGTATTTTGCAACTTCCTGCTGCATCATTTTCATTTGGAAATATCAGTAGCTATTTTTCATTCTGTTTTAACTTTGACTATCATAGGTTTTAAAAAATGAATTCTTCTTTCATTTTGTTCCGTTCTTCCAATCTTTGCTTCTCAGCTGGCAGTAGATGAAAGCGTCTCCATGACACCTTTTTACCTGCTCTTGGGAAAGCGCCATCAACAAACAAAAGAGGCTGCAGAAATTGGGCAGGTCACTATGAGGAGCAGCTTGGCACGCGAGTCACCTGCTGTCAAAGAAGTAAGAGAAAGCAAAAAAAATAAAAAATAAATTCAAGAGTGCATGCATGGTGAACAACCCTCTTAATACATGTTCTATGTTGTTGAATCATTTTTCCCTTTTTTTCTCCCCAGCTGCTTCACACTCCAGCCCACGTATTACCATCTGCCTCTTTCCTGTGCCCTATTTTTCTTAACTCGCTGCTGGTGTCTAAAACAAACAAAAGGTAAGAAATCTGCTGAGCGACCCCTCATATGTGAAATGTTAAAGCATACTTAAAGGCAAGAGTATTCCCTAGACCTGCCCAGTGCAGTATCTAAATTAATGCATTTCTATGAGCTACTCACAAACACTCCTTACTGTGTTATGGTATTAGTCCAAGTGATTTGGGGCAAAATTACAGTGCCTTGATGGTATGCTCATACCTTTAAACTTTTCCACATTTTGTTGTGTTACAGCCTGGCACTGAAATGGATTTAATGGGCATTGTTACCACTTGATGCACACAAGATAACACTGTGAAGGTGCAACATATTTTTATTGCGGCACAAAAGTTTTTAGCAAACAAATCAGCACTTGTTGGTTGCATAAGTAAGTATTCGGCCCCTTTGCTGTGACATGCCTAAGTTCGCTGCCTCCAGAAGTCACATGCTGGAAGCACTGAATGGAGTCCATCTGCATTTCCAGTGCCACACGATCTCAGATGAAAGACACCTGGAAGGCCCCCAAGTTTGTTAGACAGCATGTAGCATCTAAACAAGGAGCATCACGAAGGCCAAGGAGCTATCCAAATAGTTCTGTGATCAAGTTGTGCAGAAACACCAATAAAGATTTGGTTATTTTTTTTAAATCCCAAAACTTGAACCCTGGAACAGCATTAAATCCCATACTACAAAATGAAAACAGGACTCAATTGTGACTGCCTAGAGAGATTCAGATCCACCAAATCACAGTAACTGGGTAAGGAGGGTGTTAGGCAGAAAACCAAGAGACCGTTGGTAACACTGATGGAGCCCATGTACAGTGGTACCTCAACTCACGAACGCCTTGGTTCACGACCAAATCGGGTGGCGAACAAAAATTTCATGAAAATTTTGACTTGAGTCGTGAACTCTGCATTAGGTGTCATCCAAGATTGTGGCCATCCCTCCCCCACCCCCAAATGGGGAGTTGGCCATGATCGTAGTTGCGTTTGTGCAGGGAAGACGTGCGTGATCACAGGCGTGCTCCAGCAGGAAAGACGGGCGCCATCTTGGCCATCTCCCCCCTCCCACAACCAGTACAATTGCGGCCATCTCCCCACGCCCCCTGAGTGGGGAGATGTCCAAGATCATGCCCATCTCTCCCCGCCCTCAGCACGTTGGGATGACAGGCACGTGCAGGGATGACAGGCGCGATCTGGGTTGTGCTGGGGGGTGGGGAGATGGCCGCGCTCATGCTCTAGGTGGGGAGGGGAAAATGGCCGCGATCTTTGTTGTTCTTTGTCACTTTGTTTCACATTTTTCTGATTGAAAAAAATGGTTACAGAACGGATTAACCTTATTTACATTGAATCTTATGGGGAAATTTGACTTGGCTCACGACCAATTTGGGTCACAACCAGCGTCCTGGATCGGATTACGTTCGTAAGCCAAGGTACCACTGTTCCAGCCAATTCCAGAGGATAACCTCTTTCCATCTGCAATGGACTTGAAACCGATGAGGTGCTTTGTCTTTCACTAGGACACAGGCAATGCAATATTGAGGTGCTTTAAAAACAAGAACAGTCTTAGAATGGCCCAGTCACAGCCCAGACCTTAGTCCAGTTGAGCCAGAAAGCTGCTGTCCTGCAGTGGTCTCCATCCAGCCTGAAAGAGCTGGAAAGGTTTTGGCAGGAGAATGGGCAGACACGGCAGAGGCCACGTGTATGCAAGTGAAAGACTTGCCCAAGAAGATGCGCAGCTGAAATTGCTGCCAAAGGAGCTCTTGCTAAATATTGACCCAGGGTAAACCAACAAGGGCTGATTTGTTTTTGTTAACTTTTGTGCCACACTAAAAACAGTTTCAGTGTTGTGCTTCTTGGGTACATCAAGCAGTAACAGCACCAACTATATCTGTTTCATTTACTGGTGTAACACAACAAAATGTGGAAAGGTCAGAGTCTGGCAAATACTTGGGCAAGATACTGTTACCTCGGCATATGCTGATTTTTGAAGATAAGTCCTAAATGTTTCTCCTCTCCCACAAAATACGTGTAAATACATCACTGGCATGTCAAGGTAGGTTTTTCCATGTCGTGCTAGTTTGGGATAAACCGAAAGTCCTTTTGTGGGTGTTGAAAAGCTGAATTCCTTCATAGCATCAAAACCTGTCTCCTTGCTGACCTCTTATCCTGCTATTCAGAACTGTGATCGACTTCCCATGATCTTTATAATGCCAGTCCCCCATCTGTGTGGAGAATGTTCTGACATTTAGGGAGTTTCATGCCCCTTTCATGCTAAAGTCTACTTAATATATTCAGGGCAGTCTTAAGATGAGAATGCTGTTTGTGAAATGGTGCAGTAGGGCCTGAACACATTGAAGTTTTGTTTATGTTTTAGCAGCTAAAAAAATTAGGTGCAAGCCCTACAGTAAATGAACGATAAAGGCTTTTATTGGTCTGGAATGCACATTTTTGTTGATACTTTGTCTACAGCACTGGTGGAGACGTTGCTGATGAAGTTGAAATGGAAAGCGACAGTGGAGAGACTGAATCTGAGGAAGAAACCATGATTACTGAAGTGCATCCAGAAGCTTCAGAAGCAGCAGAATGTTTGGGGGACATTATATCTAAATTATCAAAAACTCAAGAAAGAAAACTGCGTAAAATAAGAAAACAGGACTACAGCTGGGCATCAACCCTCTAGACATTAGCACTGTGGACTGCATACTTTTATATTTCTTAACAATAATTTAATAGCATGGTCATGCTTTCAAATAAAAGGTTGGCCCAGGTACAATCTTCAGTCTTTTGGTGTAATATAAGCTTTCTACAACTCTTTGGAACAAATATTTATATTTGTATTATATTTCTACTTGGCGACTTAGTTTAGACTTGAGAATTGGTTTACAACTACTACATACTTCTCCATTGAGATTTTGGGCAAGGTCCAATGGTGGACAAATTGCATTGCAACGATTTAATGTTTTTGAATGAGCTTTGCTATAGAAAGGTGAAGCATTTGCCCAGTAGTATTTTCAAAAACTGCTTTTAAAATTTTAGTATGAAGTATCTCTACTCAAGATGAAAAACAGCAGCCTTTCTGTGTTTAATGTTAATCTGCATTCCTAAGATATCCAGGGTTGCTTGATTGAGGCAGAATTTTGAAATGTGAGACACAAAACAAATCCTCCTTTGTCAAGACTGCAGGGGTGCATGGGTAACTAGGCAAGGGGTCACTTATGAACTCTGGAAATAGCCTGCTCAAAATCGTCCAGCAAAAAAACACATTTCAAGCATGACAAGTCCATGCATATGTGTGAGAATAAAATTATAAGTGCACTCCTTCAGTGGCCAAAATCCAGAACCAGGAAACAGCTCAAGGGAGGTTTCGAAATCAATCCTACAGTCCTAGAAGCATGTCTCTGGGCCTGTGGAATTGATTGTGAAAAATCATCCACGGTTTTGGACAAAGCTCTGACAGCAGAGGGCTTTCTGTGGGAATGCAAGCCATCCAAGTTTCCATGATAGCTCTGGCCTTGGAAAGGGGAATGTTGCAGGTGCTCTGATGGGTGAGGAGTGGAAAACCATGGCTCCAGAGGATCCAAAATAGGAAAACAAGCAGACCAGCTCAAAAGCAAGCAAGGGGGAGGCAGTTATATTTTCTCCCATGGATGGAGAAATAATACAGGCAGACCCACCTTACTCTGCACAGGTCTGCCCTGCTGGCTCTTGTCAGTAAAAGCGTAGGGAGGAGCAGAACCTATGGTATCAGAGTCTCGGTGTGAGCAGCATAGGGTTGCTCTCTCAGACCACTATATACTGCTTTTGTAACAGAAGAGATAGACCTGTTCCAAGAAAAACAACTGCTCCTGTAAGGCCCTCGTGTGAGTCCAAGAATCCCTTTGGAGCCAGTGTGTGTGTGCACATATACTTGTTCCATGTTCCCAAGAAAACGCTGGATGCAGAGCTTCTCTTCCTCAAACTGTACCCATTCTGCCACGAGTTCAAAAGAAGTTTGGGGGATGGAGTAAAGGTGTTGTTTAAAGTTAGTCAGATCCTGTTATGTGCAGAGACAACCACCCTGGTCAGGTGAGAACTGTTCATCAAATGCAGGCTGCCTTACAGCCTTGAAGTAGCCATTTAACTGATGGTTGAAACTATACAAAAGTAAATGTAATAGGAAAGGTAATGCAGCAAAACTTTGCCCCTACCACATCTACCACGTATTTATGTTTTTAGGCAGATGCTGAAACCCTTAAGGGCACTGCTGCTTTCGTGATTAGAGTTCATTCAACCTGTTCACACACAAATCAATAGTATTTGCAGAAGAAGATGTGCTGGCCCATCGCTTGGTATATTTCTCCTCTGGTCAAATACACACAGCTGGCACATTCAGAGCAGATAATATACATGTGTATTTTGCAGTTAACAATACTTCAGTGAATATAGGTGTGGAACCTACTTGGAAGAGAAAGCGGTGAGGGCAGGCTGAACATGCTTTTCTAGCCAGTTCCCCATCAGTGAGGGTGTTCAAGGAAAGACTGAACAACCCCACGTTGGGGATTAGATGAGCGGAGCCGGCTGAAGCCAGGGGTCAGACTAGATGGCCCGGGAGGTCCCTTCTGTCTCGCTTTGTCTCTGCGTTTCTAAGGGCTGACAAATGCTCCAGCAACCACTTCCCTTTTATGGGTTGCAGTGAAGGAGGGCTATCCTGAAATTGCAAGTTCATTGGCAGGCCCAGCTTGCTTTCTGTGCCCAAGGCTACACACCTGTGTACACTGAACTCGCTGGACCTTCTTCCTGAATAGATGTGCGGCCCATGTTGTGAATGATTCATAAGCTAATTAAGATTTTTTTTAATGATGGACGGCCCATCTCCAGCTAAGATGGAGAACCCTTTTCCTCTAATCCAAAGGAACTGCTGTTCAAAGTACATTTTTTAACTGGACTTCCATGCAAACGGAAATGAAAGGGCTGGAAGCTTCTCCAGAATGTCTCTGTCTTTCACTTCCTCCTTCAGCAAGCATATTAATCAGCTGAGTCTCTTACTGGCAGAAGATGGACTGTGCTGGTTTTTGCGCTGTAGCTTTAAAACCCAATTAAACGAGTTGAACACGGGAGGTCATGTAATTTGTTTTCCAGGGATCAAAAAATCCTGTGATCTAAATAACCTGCTGCGTTGGGTTTACTGAAACAATTGCAATTAAGGCAACTGGAGGGTAACACATGTGTAATGTCTAACAAGTTTTTGCCATTGGAATGGGATAGGGTAGTGTCTGCCATGACTTCAGATAATTGCAGGGTGGCTGTCATTAACTGCTAGTTTTTCTGATGTGCTTCTCTCTTGCTTCAGTCACTCACAATGTGAAGTCCCATAACCGCTGCTGAACACCACCGAGGCTGCAATCTTATCACCCTTACTGGAGAGCCAGACCCCCTGGTCCCTATGGATTTAGCTGCTAAGTAATCATGTAAAGTCACTACCAGCTTTAGACACCTTAAGTTTTGCACTGGGCAAAGGGATAGAATTTTCTCATGTTACATATGAGCAAGATCAGTCGGCATGAAACATGCTTAATGGCTTTCCTCAGCCCAGCATCTCTGCCATCAACCTTATGCGATAACAGAGAAGTGAGATAAATATCAAGTATTCTTTTTACTGAGAAATAAATGTCCATACAGTGCTGTCTCCAGACTTCCCCTGCAAAAGATTAAGACAGAACAAGAGCCAGAGTCTCAAGTCATACTGCCCTCTTCAATAGGCATACATTGGGGTAAGGGAATAAACCGGTCTGCAACAAGTCTATTGGAGTGGGGAATGAATAAAAAATAACATTTCTTCAAACAAGTTGCTTGTAATAGCAATTATGGATAACATTTTTGAGTATATCGGTTCTGGAAAATGCTGCTCTGTCTTCCCCATTCAATGGACTCAAGCAATGTATACAATGAAGAAGTTAAAAATCAGTGTTCTCCTCTGAAAGCAGAAATGGACTCTGATCTGCAAGAAGGGAGGGGGATATTTTTGCCAATTCTCCCATGACCTCTCACTGTTCTGAAGGCTTCCCCAATGTGCTATGTAGAATTCCAGTAGGGCAACAGGTTTCCTTTGCCCATCTTTCTTTTCTTTTTTTTTTGCGGGGGGGGGAGAGCAAACATTCCCCCTGCTTGTCTTCTGAACAGGTACAGTCCAGTGATGCCTGCATCATATCCTTCTGAATGACTGCTTGGCCTTTGAAAGAATGATTCCCATAATGATTGCAGGTGTCACAAAATCTTCCTGTGCAATCTAAGAGGTACAATAACTGCCATTCCAACAGCTCCTCATAAACGTCTCCTGGAAAACAGCCAAGTTTAAATGTTAAGAGCCTGTCATTTTAGTATTTCATTCTTAAGAATCAGAAAGCATCCCCCCCCCGCCGCCCCCTGTTGTGTTTGTCTTAAGGGTGTGAATGCAAGATTATTGCTGACGGCAAGGTCTCTGGATGTTATTTTCCACCTATCACATGAGAAGATAGCCAGGGTTATGGGAGGTAAATGGCCCAGTTGCATGGCAGGGTGTTCTGTCCAGAGCTTTTCAAAGGGCTGCTGCTAAAGGTTTATACTGAAGTAGGCAAGCAGCTTCCTAAAACAGCCCCATGCCAGAGAAGCTGATAAAACCGAGGGAGAAATTAAGAGAAAAGGGCAAAGCAGAGGTGCAAATAAACTAGGGGATAATTAGAGGCCAGACCGCATTCTTCATGTGTAGAAAGTTCACTTACTTCCACGTAAGCTAAAGTGGTCTCAATCCGGAGCAGGGCCATGCTGCTCCAGGTTGGGGGTTTGACCTCTGTCCTCTTCCATTTTCGTCCTGCAATTCCACCCACCCACAGTGGGACTAAGCATTCATTCTTGAAGGACACTGAAAGGACATTTCATTTGGCCCCCAGTTCAGCTGTATCCTTCCTGAAAAGTGTTTCTGCTCTTGGGCACAGATTTATCCTGGTCTGCCTGCCCATGTATTCCCACTGCCCATCCCCAAATGCTGCTCCTGAGGATTGGGGAACCCTCTGGAATACCATGGGATCTCGTGCAGAGGTCTGCAATGGGTTGGGGGAAGTCAATGAAAATCCGTGACCCTATAATGTATAATAGATGGCTATGAAAAAGAAATTAATGCATGGAAGAGAGATTTGTCACGGCTAGTGGTTATGCTGGCTGGGTATTACCTTCAGTATTGGGACATCAGGTGTCAGGTGGGTCATTGTGGGAAGCAGACTGCAGGATGTGATAGCCTTTGGCCTGATTGGAAAGGCCTCTTTTTAGGTTCTTGTACAAGCAGAAGCATTCACTAAGGCAAAACCACGATTGGATATATGGCCTTGTCATTTTTTTTTTTTTAGCAGAAATGTAGGATAGAAATTCATAATAAATTAAAGCAATCCTGCATTTTCCAGTGGGATTGAGCCCTCATTTTCCTTGTCCTTTTTGCTGACATCACTTTGTCTTAAAAAATCTGTGTCCCTACCCCTAGTGCTTGATCATTCTTGTAAGAAACTTCTCAATGTTAGAGCTTTTTTGCTCTTGCTGGTAGATCACATTCTTGCTTTTGGCAATCCAGTTCCATCTCTTACCTTGCTACAATTTTCAGGTAGCTCACCTTTTCCCCATTCCTTGTATTCTGTTAACAAATGTGATCTATAGGCAACAAGGTTTTTCCTTCTTTGTAAAAGTCCGGTACTCAATATGCAGGTGCTGCCTCTGCCACACCATAAAAAAAAAAAAATCCTGCAAAGAATGCACCCCCATTTCTGCCCC